CAAACCAAACCAAACCAAACCAAACCAAACCAAACCAAACCAAACCAAACCAAACCAAACTTATTAAGTTGCAAGTTGTTAAATATGATTTTCATTTTTTGGTTGTTAAACATAGTGCAGTTTCTTTTAATTCTGGAGATAACAACCCACTTAAATAATGAGTGCAAGTAATAAGAATAGGTGATCACTATAAAAATAGAGACCCAAAATCTTTACCAGAAAAACAATTTCTCAATTCATTTGTTTTCCTGTATTTGTATGCAATAGCATCCTGTAACTTGGCAACCATCTAAAGAGGGAGATCGGCTAATTGGGCGTGTTATTCTCAACAAAAGAACAACTATGCCAAAAGAATCAGGTGCATTACTGGGACTCAAAGTAAGTGCCTTGGAAACTATACTGTAAACTAATTTCCATTAATCTTTTGTAAGAAAACTGACCCTTGGTTGAAATTGAGACTTTTTCTAAAGCAAGGTTTTAAAGTAGTCTGTCATTCAAGTGCCACCTTGAGCTTAAAAAGAAGAAGCAGAAGTTAAAGTTAAGCTTATTAATTTTTAAAGTTGAGTTCACACAATATGCATGGCTAAATTGTATTTTCCCAGTTTGTGGCTCTAGGTATAGTATTACGCAAACAGTGAGGTTAAGTTATCGTACAGTGCATTGTTCAGTTCCATGCAATTGGATTTGAATTGAACGGTACATTAGTTAATAATTGGTTAGCATTTGGGTTAAATATTAAATTGAAGCTGATACAAAAATGTGATCTTTTCTGGAGTTCTGCCTCTTCAGAGTACTTGGGGTAGATACAAATGTATTTATAATTCAGAGATAGCTTACAGTTAGGTTAGTAACCAATCAGGTTTTTTCCCCTCCATGAATTCCTAGTTTTTAGAAGTATATACATATATGTATAACTAAATTCCAGATTTCTTGTGATGTAGGAGGAATACTACATATACCCTACCAGGGGTATATCTTGCATTTTTAATAGCCAATCACACTGAATGCTTCATGCTTCTGATTGTTCATGGGCTGACTCAAGAACCAATGGTTTCTCTTTGCTGCCTTTCTAGATCCTTACCCAAGTGGTTTGAACTTTGACTCTAAGAAGAGTTGATAGAATGGGCTAAATTTCTGTATCAGTCATTAAATAATGTCCTTTAGGTCCTGCAAAGAACAGTATGAAGTATGAATAATAATTAGCCTTATTCTGTACCATCCTGAAAAAAGAATATATCAATATAGGTATGTTTTACCTTTGGAGTCAACCATACTGCAGGTTAAAAACTTTAGGGAAATTATGTCAAGCTTTCTGTTGCTGTGTTCCTTCAACTTCGGCCCTGAAAAGCAATGGAACTCAATAGTGAAGAAGGTTCTTAGCAGTGGTGGGATTCAAATAATTTAACAACCGGTTCTCTGCCCTAATGACCAGCTGGGTAGGTGTGGCTCAGTGGTCATGTGACTGGGTGGGTGTGGCTTACTCAATGTCACTCACACCAATGGACACTTCGCCTTAGCTGTTACAATGTAATAAGGGTTAACCGGAGAGGCAGTTTCTGTAAGCAGGGCAACAAAGATTAGGCTAGAAACAACTCCAGGATGTTTCCTTCCTGCCTTCCTTACAGGATTAGCCCTGTAAGTGGAAGAAAACAAAAGATTTCTTCCAACA